ATCACATAAACCAAGTGAAACTTATAAACGTATGTGGAAAATGTCTCTGAGTTAAATATAAAAGGAAAATTGAGACTTTGCCAATTAGCAGGAATAGACCTAGCAGAAATTATAGTACCTTTTACCAGTGATGAAATTGACAAATTATGGGAAGAAAGTGAACACTGGCAGAGAGCTTCTAGTAACTTTTTGGGAGACACTGACAACAACTATCCCAAAAGCGAGAGAATTTGACTTATTAAGAGAACTAACTGGACCCTTTCTCACATTTTACAGGACACACCAATAACTGGAGCCCCTACATTCTATACTAAATCAAATAAATCAGGAAAGGTAGGTTACAAATCATAAAATTTAAAGTGGAAAAAGCGCCTTATGATTCTGTCCAAAAGGCAGAATTATATGCTATTCTCATGGTACTAAGGGATTTTAAAGAATCTCTCAACATAGTTACGGATTTGTAATATGAAGAAAGAGTTGTTTAGCATATTGAGACTGCTGACTTTATACCAGGTGATACAGAATTGACTTCATTATTCATTCAGGTACAAGATATAATCAGAAATAGACATCAACCCATATCTGATCCCATACGGGTCTGCCAGGTCCTCTAGCACGAGGTAATGCAGAAATTAATCAATTATTGATTGGAAATGTGCTGAAGGCCTCAGAATTTCATAAAAACATCATGTCAATAGCAAAGGTTTTTTTAAAAAAAAAGACTTCTCCATCACATGGCAACAAGACAAGGAAATTATAACGAAATGTCCTATTTGTTCTTTTTACAAACAAACACCACAACCTGCAGGAAGTAACCCAAAGGGTACTCAGAGAAATAAAATCTGACAGATGGATGCATTCCATTTTGTAGAATTTGGAAAACAAAAATATGTATAGTACAACATTTATATCAATTTAGGTTTTCAATGGGCAACTGCTTTGAGTTTGGAAAAGGCTAATTCAGTAATCACATATTTGCTAGAAGTTATGGTCATCATGGGTATACCTGTACAAATAAAGACAGACAATGCTCCAGCATATGTCTTTAAGAAAATGAAACAGTGTTTTGCTTATTATAATATAAAGCATATTACATCTATAACACACAATACTACAGAGTAGGCAGTTTTAGAAAGACCAAATCAAACTCTAAAGGATATGTCAAACAGAAAGGGATGATGAAGACCCCAGAAATAGATTGCACAATACTTTGTTAACTTTGAATTTTCTAACTGCTAATGAGAAAGGAACAACAGCTGCAGAGAGACATTGGATAGTAGAAAAAACTACGGAATTAAATCATCCAATATAAAGATGTATTGACCTCAGAATGGAAACCAGGACATGTATATGTTGGCAAAGGGGTTTTACTTTAGTTTCTATAAGAGAAAAAAAGTTATGGATACCACCAAACATAAAGATTTGATTTGAACAAGAGACACTGCTTAAATTTAAGAGATGATAGTTCATCAAACATCTTGGCCTTTTAACCTGTACTACCCTATAAAACTAACAAATGGTTTTCATTTTATCAGATATAACTTGCTGAAAGAGAATCTCCCCAAAGTTGGGGAAGGGTTTTGTTTTCTGTCTTTTTTTAAAAAGATTTCTTTATTAATTATGTATATACACACCTACCAGAAGAGGGATTCAGACCCCATTACAGATAGTTATGAGCTACCATGTGGTTGCTGGGGATTGAACTTAGGATCTCGGGAAGAGCAGTCAGTGCTCTTAACCTCTGAGCCATCTCTCCAGCCCCCGTTTTCTGTCTTTTCAAGAGAATAAAGGTATCCAGCTACGGAATCTGAAGACTACTGGACAAACCAGACATCTGAAGAAAAGGGATAAATCATCAAGAAAAAAAAATGTTTCAAGAAAAAGAGTAAGTTGGCCTATTGGTATATCACATTTCCAACAGGATAAAACTTTATAAATCTTCCCAAATGTTTGTTTCTGCTGTTTTCTATAGACATATAACACAAATGGTCTTTTTGTAGTCTCAGTCCAGTTAAAGATTAAAGCTGGCTTTGAAGTTGGAGTGTGGTTCTCTCCTTCTCTAAAACCAAGTATGCTTTATTAAAGTGAAATCCAAAATCTCCATCTCATATCAGAAGAGCCACCTGATATGGAACAGAAGAAAAGCAAAATTTTAAGAACTACTTTATTGCTACTAATCTCACAATCCTTTGGTTTTATATTGACTCTTTAACAGCTTTTCTTAAGGTATAAGATTATATATACATATACATTTATATATATTTGTTATGACATTAATGGTCATATAGAATACTACCTAACTCTAGAAAAAGATTGCGTCTACCTTCCTGTACATGATTATTTCGGGTTTCAGTCTCTATCAGTTTTCTGCATTGAACCATGAGCATGCCTAACCATGACCTTTGACTCCTCTAGGAGTATGTTAACACCACTAAGCTGAAAAACAGCACCTAAAGATCAGCTTTTGGAATACAAACTGGTCAGAACAATTTCAAGGTGGCTAGCTAAGATGATCAAGATTAACAGACTACTCTAGCCAGGACTAGGCAAGTCCTGCACTTTCGCATTATGCAGAGACTGGAGAACAAATAATAAAGCTACCTCTCTTAGAATTTTACAATTAACCAAAAATTTTCAGGATCCCCTAAAGATGCTTCCCCAGACAGCAGGAAGTAAATTTAAGAATATGGCACCCACATTCCCAAGCAGTGGGGTGGGTGGTTTTTGGTCATTCATTGGGTTATGAATATTTGTCACTGTTTAGGGGGGTTGGTTACCAGTTGTTAATGTTATTATTGTTTATGATCAGGAGGAAATTTGAACAAAGGAGATTAGATGCAGAGTTCTTGTTTTGAAAAGAAAAACAAGATACAGATATAATAGAATAAAAGGGTAGAATCGACTTTGAAAAGAAAAAATGGGCTGGGCGGTGGTGGCGCATGCCTTTAATCCCAGCATTCGGGAGGCAGAGACAGCCGGATCTCTGTGAGTTCGAGGCCAGCCTGGTCTAGAAGAGCTAGTTCCAGGACAGGAACCAAAAAAGCTACGGAGACACCCTGTTTCAAAAAATCCAAAAAAAAAAAAAAAAGGGTAATATAGATAAGATAAAAAGACGGATTATTGAATCTACTTTTAGAAAGCAACTACTAGTTTTAAATGTTTTATATTGGACTGAACTTGATATACTGTATACTAATTTTGTATATTGATAGAAATTAGAGATTAATTTTTTTTAAAGATTTATTTATTATGTATACAACATTCTGCCTCTATGTATGCACGCACGCCAGAAGAGGGCGCCAGATCTCAGTATAGATGGTTGTGAGCCACCATGTGGTTGCTGGGAATTGAACTCAGGACCTCTGGAAGAGCAGCCCGTGCTCTTAACCTCTGAGCCATCTCTCCAGCCCCCTAGAGATTAATTTTGTTAAAACAGACTGCACATATGTTTCTAATTCAAGGTATTGTACCTATAGAGCTCATTTAACAATGTAATGCAATTTTCTAGTCCTTGGAAGTTATTATTACCAACTATTTAGGATAATAAGAAATGCAGGTTAGTAATTAGTCACTGGCTACAATCAAACTTGTAGTCATATTAAGTATGCTTTCAAGGTCAAACAAAGATATATATTAAATAGACAGGTCATCTTCAACCACTTCACAGATCTACAGAATATGGCATTTAAGATATTTTAATAACATTGATTATTTTTTCTTTTTTTAAGACAATGAGACATGTCTGATCCTGGCAGCACCAATCTACTTCAGAGAAGATGATGGACATCGAAGAAACTCCACATGGAATTTACTTTCTTTGTGGCAAAAGTAAGTCACTGGGCAAGAAAAATGTCCTTTCCTCAATTGCTGACAGTATGCTGTCCTAATGGGACAAGCAGAACACAAAAGAAGAGTGACTGCCAACCCTTGCTCAGACAAGCTGGTCCTTCAAAAACCCTGCTTCATAGAAAAGTCTTTCAGATATTCTAGGCTTATAGGCCAAAGATGGATGCCCCAACATTGCAGAGGAACACTGGGTGACTGTTCAGGCAGCCAGATGTTTCTGTCATTGCTCACATTTTTTAGAAGTCTCTTGCTTACACTTCCTGCTTACTCATTTAATATTATTTACTTCTTGGGTCTCTGAGGGAGTTGAAGACTAGATAGTTTTAGTTATAGTTTTAATTGTTTATGAATCTCAGAAAAGAAATTCGCTAAAGAAATATAAAGTATATAAAATTGAGAGATATCAAAAGATAATTTTGGACGATAATGCAAGTTATGATACAAAGTAAATTAGGTACAAGATTTTGGACTAACCAAGATAGGATAGATATGGAGTATTTTCTCTAAATTTTTCAAATGCCATTGTTAATGTATTTATTGCCTGTATATACTGTATACAATTATTGTACCTAATGTATATAGTTTTTCTTATATTAGTTATAGCCTTTTTATTTTAGAGAAAAAGTGGAAATATAGTGATATTTTATTTATGTTTTATAAATAAAGCTTTCCTGAGGACCAGAATGTAAAACTAAGGCACTAAAGGACAGGCAATGGTGGCACACAGATTTAATCACAAGATTTGAGAGACAGAGGCAGATGGAGCTCTGTGATTTCAAAGCTACCCTGAGCTACACAAGATCAATGCAGAAACAGATCCAGGTGGTGGTGGCTCACATTGTGTCACATGCCTTTAATTCCTGCACTAGAGAGGAATATAAGGCAGGATGAGGCAGAAACTTGCTCTTTTCAGTTAGAGGATTTCTCAGAGGTAGGAACTATCTACCTCCCTTTGATTTCGCTGCTTTGCTTTTTCTGATCTTTGGGTTGAACCCCAATCATCTTTCTCTGGGTTTTTATTATTTGTGCTACATATCAAAGTGTAACAGTGGATGATGTATCTGTATTTCCATAATGGATCATCTCTGATCGGAATGGTACTTATCTGAATCCACCATCCTTGCACAGTGTTGGTGGAGTCTAAGAATGCTCACCTCTCCAACTGTCTGCAGGTTATAGCAGATGCTGTCCTTGTGGGGTGCTGAAGTTCCATAGAGAAGTGCTTTTATAAGCCAGCAAATTCCCAGGAGCAGGTCAGAAAAGCTCAGATAAAAGAGTGGTTTTATCTGTCAAAAATCACAAAATCTTAATTCAGTAAGTGATGTAGCTAGGAAAAAAATATAAGTTACCTTTATGTTTTATGCTTTGAGTTGAAAATTGGTGTCATAAGCCGGGCGATGGTGGCGCACGCCTTTAATCCCAGCACTCGGGAGGCAGAGGCAGGCGGATCTCTGTGAGTTCGAGACCAGCCTGGTCTACAAGAGCTAGTTCCAGGACAGGCTCCAAAGCCACAGAGAAACCCTGTCTCGAACAAAACCAAAAAAAAAAAAAAAAAAAAAGAAAAGAAAATTGGTGTCATTCTGCCAAGGCCTCTGCAACTGTTTATCTATTGATAATGTAAAGAAAGATTCTCGACAGGAAGGGATCTCTAACCAGATCTTCAAAGTCCTGGAGTAAGAGAGCTTGTGAATAGCTCAGCACTCTCACTCAGAGGGACACTCCTTCCTTAGCCACAGGGGCCAAAGCTAGAATGGAGAGATGAAAGATTTACAGTAGAGCTGTAGCAAAAGCACTATGGATGCACAGCCGACATATTCTAAAGTTAGATAATGATGTCATGAGCTACATATTTACACATGTAGTCGAGGACTTAAAAGTGAGAGAAATCCAGTATGATCGATATGCTTTCTTCTGCCTTCTGACTATACTGATGAAGTCTCCATATTTTCTTGGTTTTGTACATATCTGTGTGAGTGTGGCATGTATTACATGTGCTCTGTGCATGGACATGAAGACAGAGGAGGGCTGCTCTACCACTCTCCATGTTCCTCTGAGACAGGGTCTTCCACTGAATCTATGAGAGACTGATAGCCAGCAACTCCAGTGGTCCTCCTCTCCACCTACACAGCATTGTGCACAGCCAAGCACATGGCCAAGCACACCCTTTACCTGAGTGCTAGGATCTGACCTCAAGGCTTCATTCTTGCATGTGCTCTTATTCACTGAGTCCCTGACTGCTTATGTTTTGCTATCTTTGTGCCTCCATGGTCCCAATTACTTTTTTTTTCACTCTATTTTATTATTTAGTTAATTTTTGAGACAGGATCTTACTCTGTAGACCAGGCTGGCTTCCACCTGCCTCTGCCTCGAGTGCAGGGATTAAAGGCATGCACCACCACACCCAGTTCTTTTCTGATTATTCTACAGAAGAAATATGTTTATTGAGATACAGCAGAGAAAATCTAAGAAATATGTAGTAATCATGGATGTAAGATACTATAAAATGGCAGTTCTCTCTAAATGGATGTATAAATTAAATGCATCTTATTCTCTACTGATTTTCCCATGGAACTTAACAAGCTGACTTACAATCTGAAACATGTATTAACCACGTGAGGCAGAACAGGCTGGTGATCACCGTGCTCAGCAGACAGACGCAGAGAACCAAGAATCTGAAGCTACCTGGACTACAGCAAGACTATCTGGGATTCATAACAAGATTATCAAAGAAATATTTAGGGTTTAAAGCACCGAGAGAATATACCTAGACTATAAAAAATATTGTATTTGCTCACTTCAGAGAGACTTGGTCTTCTGAAAAGCCTGGCTCTGCTACTTGGTGTGTAACTTAATCTTGGGCCTCTGGAGTTTCCTCAAGTGTGAACTGTGCCAAACCACAATCTTGATGGTTTTCCAGATCCAACAGCACTCCAGCATACACATTAAACCACACTGTGGCTAATTCTGAGCCATTCAGTCTGATTACAGCAATAATTTCTCCCTGTCCTTTAAAGTCTTTATTGAGCTAGCACTTCATGAGTGCAGTGGGGGGTGGGGGGAGGCACCAGCACACATGTTGGCATGTATGTGTCTTATTCTGAGATGGAGTCTCACTGTGTCCAGCAGGAAGGTCTTAAATTTGAACATTTTGGTGTGATTATTTTTATAAAGGATATATATTTTTTTTTCAAAATGAAACTATAATTGTTGAGGAGGATGGAACCAGCAAACAAGTATGTTTCAAGCAAACAAGACTTGGAACTGCCTCTTGACCACTCCAGTGTTCTAACAAGTCATGATCAGAAAGCTCACCTAACCTGGCTGTGGTGGTGCACACCTTTAATGCCAGCACTGGGGAGGCAGAGGCAAGTGGCTCTGAGTTTGAGGACAGCCTGGTTTATAGTGAGCTCCAGGACATGTAGGGCTATATAGAGAGACCCTATCTTGAAAAAAAAATAAGAAAAGAAAAAAAAGAATCATAGAAAAGGAAAAGAAAAAGAAAGAAAGCTGCTCACCTGAAGGGAGGGCCTTACCACACTTAGCACCAAGACAGGCCCCAGGCTTCAGACAGCAGCTTCCTTAACCTTAACAATTCACAGTACAAAGAGGGTCACACTTAATAGCTAATCTCTAGAAACTGAAGGTACAGCTTGCAGTCCTGGCCAGAGGACTGCCCATCTATTATAATTAGGGACGTATTAGTAAATCACAGAATTCTCCACTGTGCACAGTTGGTGCTTTCCTGGCACTTACTTTAGAGGCTAAATCACCACAGTTCAAACTTAATGGAAAGACACTCTCACCTTTGCAGACATCTGTGGGTTCTGGGACACAGCATAAGTGATCAGCGAACTTGAACCTATAACACTGAGAGACACAGACAATTAGCTATTACAATACAGTGATAAGACTCTGGCTTTATTATTTATTTGCATAACTGATATAAAATATACCACACATATTTTTAAATTTAGAGTATTTCATGATTTTCATGCTCTCCTTGTCTAGATGCATGCCAATCTTTTCATTATCATTCCAATTTCTCTCACTATGTAACCTCTGATGGCCTGGAACCCACTCTGTACACCAGGCTGGCCTCAAATTCACAGTGATCCTCCTGCCTCAGTCCCCTAAGTGCTGGGATTAGATACGAGCAGCCATGTCCACTTTCCTCACAGCATTTAACACATGCAGTGCTGAGGTGTGTGCTGATGCTGGTCTGCACCAGTCCTGCTGACAGGCTGCCCACTCATTTCAGATGAGTGCCTCCCTCCTTTTTGTTACTCCAATTCTTGCTTCCACTGGGAATGGGAGTAGGTGTGGTGACCCAGCAGAGGAGGGCAGCCAGAGGTCAGTGTCAGTGTCTTCCTCTATCACTCTCCACCTTATTTTTTTGAGACATGCTCTCTCATTGAACCTGGAGCTCCCAGATTCTGCTGGACCAGCTAGCCAGCAGCCCCCCAAGAGCTTCTGTCTCTGTCTTTCATGTTTGAGAAAACAGGCAGGTAACAACACAGCTGGCTTTTCATGAGAGTGCTAGGGATCCCAACTCAGCTTCTCATGCTTAGGAAGCAAGAACTTTATCCACTAAGCCATCTTCCTAGCTCCTGAACCTTTTACTGGTGAGAAAATATCAACATAGGAAAGAATTTCTAACTAAAAAGTCAAATGTAACCCTCAGGAGCTAGACATAGAAAGCTGCACAGCTCTCTAGTCTGCCAAGTCATGTGATATGAGACTCAAAAAACATACCTCAGAGTAGCTGTGACAAACTGTATCCACTGTATTGCAGGAAAAAACTAAACAAGAGAGAGGTGAGAGAGGGAGAGAGAGAGAGAGAGGTCAATATCCTACATTTAATGTTCAACCTGACTTCCGTTCCGGTGTTTATTAACCCTCAAATCCACTCCAGGTCTGGGAAGGAGTGAAATCTGAGCAGACCTGTGGGAAGGCAGGACCTTGTTGCTCCCAACCCAACTCCTTAAACAGTGAAATTTTAAAGGAAACAGCAATGAACGGGAAGTGACTGACTGCGAAAGCAAAGTTGAGAAAACTACAAGAACAAGATGACAGAGAGAAAGGAAAGGCTAAGGTCTAAGGGAGGACAAACAGATGGCAGGAAGAGAATGCTAACTGAAGCTGACTGACAAAGTTAAAGAGAGACAAGGAGGAAATGATGACGAGGGAAAAGATTATTAGTATGGAGAGAGCCACTGTGAATAAGACATGGAACAGACTGGAAGAAAGGAGCAAAAAGTGGGGGAGGACGACCAGTTTTGACCTTACAGGGTCCCATCTGACTTCCAGACCGCTAATCTCCAGTGGAAGGTCCATAAGGACTTCAGACCCAGCAACTCTCCAGTCCAGGCCCTTCTCAGCCAGGCTCCGAACAAGTAACTCCACCCCTGTCTCAGCTGGGCTCCACCCCATCTAATCCTGCCCTGAATCTTAAGGGCAGGAGGTGGAAGGGCCAAGGAGAAGGACAAAAACAGAAAAAGCAGGTGACATAAGAAGAGGAGAGGGAGGAGGGGGGAAAAGGGAGACGGGGAGGGAAATGGGAGGCGGGGAGGAGGCGGAAATCTTTTTTTTTTTCAATAAAAAAATTATATTTAAAAAAAAAAAGAAACCAGGTTGTAAGAAACATTAGAAATTTTAAGAAGGAGCAAGAAGCAGGAGCAATACAAGGCAGAGAGAGTATATTTCATAGTAAAAAGATAAAATTTCAAAAAAGAAATAGAATAGGAAAAAAGAAAAAGGAAAAATGGAGTAAAACAGAGGCCTGTTAAAACTTACCCATTTAGGGACAGAATGACGAAAAAGGTGGCACACTTGATTAACAAAGTTTTAGTTATAGTGAAAATCAAGAAGAGAATAGTTTTTTTTTTTTTCTTGGAGACAGGGTTTCTTTCTATAGACCTGTCTGTCATTGAACTCACTCTGAAGAGTAGGCTGGCCTCGAACTCACAGATATCCTCCTGCCTGTGCCTCTTGAGTGCTGAGATTAAAGGCATGTGCCACTGCCACCACCACTGTCCAGTGAGAGAAGACATTATATTTGTTATATTCAATATTAACATATTAAATACTATTTTATATCATGCCATTTACTTAACATGTGTAATCAATTTTGTATAAATCAATGTGTTATAGGAGACACAAAGATAAAAAAAGAATCTAGATAGAGCTTTCCAGCAGCTTATAACACAGGGGGAAATGTTTGAGTGCCAAGAAACAGTCTGAACAGGACAACGATGTATAGAACAGCACGTGGACAGTATTTGGGAGGATTCTGACAGAGCCTGGGAGAGAGAAATCACAAGAACGCTCACTGCTTTAACTATACTTTCATGTGCTCAGCAAACACCTCTTGTGTCTAAGGGCTGGGCCTGAGCCTAACGCCTGCCAAATGTCACACAAACATGCTGACCACTGAGCTACATCCTAGCTCTTGCATATTGTAACAAACACTTGCATGGCTGAAACTATTTAAATATATGGTGTTCATATTAGAGTGAGAGTATAGTCTAGCATGGAAAACCAGACATTTTAAGTGGACGATTTCACAGAATAACTTGTCTTAAACAAGTAAAGACCGGTAGTGAAGAAAGAGTCTTGGGAACATTTAGAGGTCTTTGATCATGTCTCCCTACTGAGGGGGAAGAGACTAAGGACAGCGTCACTGCATGATAAGAAAATGCTCTTGAACAAAAGACACTTCTGTTACTCAAGACAAATCTCAGATTGTTCAGAGAACTTTTCCCTTTGGCATATTGCTAAAGTATCTGTGCCACCTTTCTGTACACAAGCCTGTGTGCCTGTGTGTGCTTCTATGTGTGCTTGTACACTTTCTCCTTGGAGTTCCTTTGTAAATAGAACTATGCCTTCTTTTGCTACAAGGCTAACCCAAATTCAATGATATCAGTCATATTCCGTTTTTGCCTCTGTATTTAAGTTCTGCTGTTGACTTGTGTTTGTCTTTGTGTGTGGTTCTAAGATTGAACCCAGGAGTTTGTACATGACAGACAGCTGCCCCAGCCAAGCCCCATTCTTTTTCCTAAGAAGCTCTATAACAAGTTTAGGTGCATGTATGTTCAATGACCATGATAGGTACTGCATGTTACATATCCATCTACATAACAGGAAGTCATTAAACTAACAAATGTCCATGATGTTTTGTTGCTGTTAGTGTTTTTGTCCTTGTTTTGAAATAAGACCTCATTGTGACTGCAGTCCTGCCTTGCCTGAATTTGTTATGTAGCCTAGGATGACCTTGAATTTGTAACAATCCTGCCTCCAGAGTGCTGAAATTACAGATTTGAGCCACAATACCTAGCCTGAAAGCTTTATAGTGGTAATGATGGCCAAATTGTAAGTGATTTCTATGTATAAATATCTATGCTATGGTAATTTGAATGTAACTAGTTCCCATAATCTTATAGGATGCAGAATGTGGTGGTTCAAGAGAAAATGGTCCCCCAAGGTAGTAGTACTATTAGGAGGTGTGGCCTTGCTGAAGTAGTTGTGGCCTGGTTAGAGGAAGTGTGTCACTGTGGGAGTGGGCTTTGAGTTCTCCTATGCTCAAACTACTCCTAGTGTTACAGACTACTTCCTGATGCCTTCTAATCAAGATGTAGCTAGCACCATGTCCGCCTGCATGCTACATGTCCTGCCACAATCCTAATAGATGAAACCTCTGAACTGTGAGTCACCATCTCAATTAAATGTTTCCTTTATAGGAGCTGCTGTGGTCATGGTGTCTCTTCACAGCAACAGAAACCCTAACAAACACATACGTTAACATTTTAGTCTTTTCCACATTTTTTTGTTTTTGTTTTTCAAGACAGGGTTTCTCTGTATAGTTCTGGCTATCCTGAAACTCACTCTGTAAACCAGGCTGGCCTTGAATTTACAGAGATCTGCCTGCTTCTGACTTCTGCGTGCTGGGATTAAAGGTGTGTATTACCACTGCCTGTACAGCGTAAGTGAATGCAGACAGGTTGTAAAAATATATACAGCTTTAATGGAGAAATAGACTTACAGAACCACCGTTCCCGCGGAGACCAGGAAAGCAGAAGGGGCAGCTGGGAGCACACTCGCCAAATTTATAGGCTAACATTAGCCCAAGGTGAACACACCCCCTAAGAGGCGGGACTTATCCCTACATCTCCCCTTTTTGTCTAAATAACACAGAACTAAACCAAATACAACTATATACAATAATAACAAATAACAAATACAACAAACAATATTGAGAATCAAAAGTTTTACGAAACATTCTATCTCAAGGAGTCTAAATAATGTAGAGAGTAACTACAATTATATAATCTTCAACTCCGTCAAAGATCTGAGAAGGGAATAAATATTACTTAACAAACGAGATATATCCAAAATGTGCAACAATTGACAGAGACAACTGACTACCTGGGCAATCACCCAAAGTCTCGTTTGCAATGTTGAGTCAACCAACTTTGGCTAAGGCCTAACATAACTGACATACCATTATTAAAGGCAAGGAACTTTCTTAGAACTATCCTACCCTGTCTTGGCAGGATAAGACAATCCTGTTTCATTGTCAGAAGTTGAGGTATGGGCTTTTCTTAACCCAAAGGCCAGTTCTGCCAAGAAGACAAGCTCCCAGTGGAGTGTCTTTGGTGCTCAACGTTCTCTCGGGAATAGAGCGGTGTTGCCAGGAGCAATTGTGTCTCACTATCACGAAACTCTGAGTTATATTAAAGGCCATATTCTACAGCTCTCCAAAGAGGTTGAAGATTATCTATCTATACTGAGTATAATCTCTATATATCTAAAGAACCTGATTAGTCTAATTATAAATGACAAACTTAGATGACTATTAATCTATATAATTCTCAATATCTATCTAACTTAAAGACTAAGACAATAAACAACTGTGTAACAAATGAGGATAATGACCTCCAAATATAAACACTGTACAAATATACATTGCAACATGGTAAATATATATCAATACACAAACATTATATAAGTATCTTAATCAGAGGTAGAAATGTACACTGCAATATGGTAAATATATACAATATATATATCAATACAATATATGTCAATACATAAAAATGTTTTAAACAGAGATAGAAACATGCATGCATACAATAGTCAATATAATTTAACTTTGTATCAATATACAAGAATCGATACCAATATATTTGTCTAAAAACAGTAACTCACAATTATAAATCTATTATCCCATCATCCCTCTTTTTTTTTTAACTTAAAAATTTCCTCCTCCTCCCATTTTCCTCCCTTTCTCCTCATCTCCCCCCATTCCCATCCCCCTCCCTCTCCAGTCCAAAGAGCAGTCAGGGTTCCCTGTCCTGTGGGAAGTCCAAGGTCCTCCCCCTCCATCCAGGTCTAAGAAGGTGAGCATCCAAAAAGACAAGGCTCCCACAAAGCCAAAACGTGCAGTAGGATCAAAACCCAGTGCCATTCTTCTTGGCTTCTCAGCCCTCCTTGTCCAACACATTCAGAGAGTCCAGTTTGATCACATGCTCCATCAGTCCCAGTCCAGCTTGCTTTGGTGGGCTCCCATTAGATCAGCCCCACCCTCTCAGTGGGTGGGCGCACCCCTTGCGGTCCTGACTTCCTTGCCCATGTTCTCCCTCCTTCTGCTCCTCATTTGGACCTTGGGAGCTCGGTCCAGTGCTCCAATGTGGGTCTCTGTCTCTAGCTTCATCCATCGCCAGGTGTCCATGGAGATGTCCCCAGCTAGATCCTTGGGCAGCTGAGGAGAGAGAGCCTGAAATGGCCCTATCCTATAGCCACACTGATGAATATCCTGCATATCACCAGGGAGGTATTTTTAAGTCATACCAGGCTAACATGTTCTCTTTGGACAGAATAACTATACTGAGTGTATCTGGAATTTGGGCAGAGTAGCCTGTGAGAAATTTCATGATATAAAAATAACAACCTTTGCCAGGCATGGTGACATACACCTTAAACCCAGCACTCTGGAGGCAGAGGAAGGCAGGTATCTGTGAGTTCAAAGCTAGCCTGGTCTACACAGTGAGTTCCAGGACAGCCAGGGCTACCTATAAAGATCCTGTCTCAAAAAACAACAACACTTTATATTATATTACAATGAAGGTCATTTCTTGCACAAACTCTGGCCAGCATCTACATTCATGTTCTTCAGTAACACTGGTGAGAAGTAGAATTCTTCAGCCACCTCCTTTCCACAGGCTAAAGCAGGCTTGTTTCCAAGAGCTTCTGCCACTAGTGAAAACAGCGTGATCTGTTTGTGTCTTTGACACGGTGCATAGACAAGTCAGTCTCCAGGCCTGGCTATAGCTCAGTGCTCTCCTAGGAGACATCAGCCTAACCAGGACCCATACAATTTGGTCAGCACATGATTTGTGATTCTTGAAGAATTCACTGGGGTCACATGAATCTTTTTTTTTTTTTTTGTAGCCAGAAAATAACTTTATTTTCCAGTTCCAGGTAAGAACTTTTGGAACTGTTTCTTGGTGCCAGCAGCCTTGGTGACCTTGAGCACATTGAAACACGCAGTCTTGCTTAGGGGCCTGCACTCTCCCCCAGTGACGATGTCGCCGATCTGTACATCCCTGAAACAGGGGGACAGGTGCACCGACATGTTCTTGTGGCATTTCTCAAAGCGATTGTACTTTCGGATGTAATAAAGATAGTCCCGGCGGATGACAATGGTCCTCTGCATCTTCATCTTGGTCACGACACCGGACAGGATCCGACCTTGGATGGAGATGTTGCCAGTGAACGGGCATTTATTGTCAATGTAGATGCCCTCGATGGCCTCTTTGGGCATCTTGAAGCCTAGACCGATGTTCTTGTAGTACCGAGGGAGTTTTTCCTTGCCAGTTTCTTCAAGCAGAACATGCTTCTTGTTTTGGAAGATCGTGGGCTGCTTTTGGTACGCTCGTTCGGTCTGAATGTCCGCCATCTTCTCGGCAGCCTAAGGAAAAGAGAGGCGGGCCAACTCCCGGGTTTCCTTCTTCACCATGAATCTTTACAGTATGGGGATTCTGGGTCACCTGACCTGTGAGCAAAACTAAACTATCTATCTGTGTGCATTTTCACTTCCTGGTTCTGATTCCACATAAATGAGGCCCAGGCAGTGGATATGTTATTCTGCATCAGGACTCTTCCTGCAGTCACTGTCAGCACTTCAACAAATAGAAACCTTCAAAAGACAAAACAAACCACCACTGTCTTAGTTAGGTTTCTATTGTCTTTTTGTTTGTTTTGGTTTGGTTTGGTTTGGTTTTCGAGACAGGATTTCTCTGTGGCTTTGGAGCCTGTCCTGGAACTAACTCTTGTAGACCAGGCTGGCTTCGAACTCACAGAGATCCGCCTGCCTCTGCCTCCTGAGTGCTGGGATTAAAGGCGTGCACCACCACTGCCTGGCTAGGTTTCTATTGTCATAATGGTGGGAAGCATGGCGGCACTCAGGCACATATGGTGCTAGAGAGGGAGCTTAGAGTTCTATATCTGGATCCCAAGGCATCAGGAACAGACTAAGACACACTCCCTCCAACAATGCCACACCACTAATAGTGCTACTCCCTATGAGCCTATGGGGTCTATTTTTATTCAAACCACCACCAATAAAAACCCAAACATTAGCAATGACTGCAATTATTCCCATTTCAAACTCATTTGTTTCTAGAGTCACATAGCTACTAAGAAAGTCCAAGGAAAAAACACTGCAAAACCCAAACTTCAGTAGAACCACAAAACTACACCCACAACCTCCCCAGAAAATAAAACCTTATACCATTATGGCGCTCCACCGTCTGCATTTGGACTTAGTATTACAGCATCCATTAGCATGCTCCCTCCTTTTAACCTCCATGGAATAGCCAGGGTGAGCCTTTAGGTTTTCCACATCAGGGCAACACTCAAAGTAGTTACAACAATTACTTTTGCAATGTAATTTATAATAAAGGTGTCAATATACCACCTCCAACCAATGTACTTCCTTCCCTTCTTCCAAAATCTAATTCTATCAGAGTATAGTGGTACATGTCATTAATTTCAGAACTTGGGAGATAGAGGAAGGCAGATCTCTGGGTTCTCTGTGAGTTTGAGCCAGCCTGGTCTACATAATGAGTTCTAAGGATATCCAGAGGTAGGGGGAAGAAATCTACTTCTATAGCTGAGGAGGCTCAGTAAGTAAAGAGCTCACTTCATAAGTCTTAATAACCAATATTCAGACTCCCAGAACCCACCTAAATGCCAGGTGTGTATGTCAGCCTGCCTATAGTTCCAGCAGATGGACACAGGGAATCCTTAGAGCAAACTGGTTAACAAGATTGGCCTTATCAGCGAGCTCTAGGTTAGAGCGAGAGACCCTGCTTCAGTGGATAGGATAGAGATGGAATATGACTGCTGATGTCAACATCAGGCCTCTGCATGCACACCCACATGTGCTCACATAAATATGAATACACTTCTCTCTCTCTCTCTCTCTCTCTCTCTCTCTCTCTCTCTCTCACCCACACACACACACACACACACACACACACACACACACACACACACTTATGAAAATGGAAAAAATGTTAAGCCTTCCATACTAACCACAACCAGAAAAGCACTTTTGGATAGCCATTCTAATGGGGCATACCCAGAGCATTCATATACTCAGAAATGAGCAATGTCAAAAATGTCAATGTTTTGCTGGGCACTGGTGGTGTACACCATTAATCCCAGCACTTGGGAGGCAGAGGCAGGTGGATCTCTGTAGTAGGAGACTGCTTGTTCATTTCCCAGCCATCCTGATCCAAATAATCACACCAAAATTATATTAATTATAACACCGTTTTGCCAACAGGTAGACATATTTCTAGCTAGTTCTTATATTTTAAATTAAAACATTTGTATTGTTTTATATTTTACCAAGAGGCTTGTGGTTTATTACCTCTTGCTTCCTGGGAAGCTACATGGCGTCTCTTTGATTCAACCTCCTCTCTATATATCTCTGTTAAAATTTCCTGCCTGGCTTTACTCTGCTAAGCCATTGACCAAAACAGTTTCTTTATTAACCACTGGTAATAAAACTTATTCATAGCATACAGAGGGGAAATCCCCCATCATCTCACCTTTTCTGTCTAAATAAAAAGGGATGTTTTATCTTTAACATAGTAAAATTACATATAACAAAATAGGTATCAAGTAAGAATTACAGTTACAATATTTCTTTGTGAATCTAAAGTTTCATATCTAATTTATCTTTTATCATAACTAAGGAAAACTGTAACTATCTTCACTCTTCAAAGATCCCAGAAGGATATAATATTACCTAAGTAAACAGGAGGTGCATTGTAAGCAACTTCCAAAACTCAAGAATTGACAGAGACATCTTGCTGCCTGGACAGTCACTCAAAGTTCTTCTGTAACACTGGGACATCCATCTTCAACCTGCAGGCCTATAATACCTGGTAGACTTTCCAGTGAAGAAGAAAATTTGAAGATTTGTTTCACCTTGTACTGGCAAAGTTTGTCAGTTGCTTTCTTCTGTGTCCTTCAGAATGTCTGGCAGCTTCTTCGGTAAAGCAGGAACCCTGAAGGATCATCACGTCTTTTGGAAAATTCAGTAGTCACTTTTCTGTGAGTCCTGCATGTCTAATTCATACAGCATGCCATCAAGCAGTCTAGGCAAAAGCAGTTTCTTGCCCAACTGGCTAGCCTTGTCACATTGAAGGCGAATTCCATAACGAGTTTCTTCAATGTCCATCAACCTCTCTGAATTGGTTGTGCCAGAAGCAGATATGTCTCACTACTGAGAAAAGTCTAAGTTCTTAAAACATTTTAAATGCCATATTTGTAATTCTTTGAAGTGTTGAAGATTATCTAACTTGAATATATCTCTATGTATCTAGAAAAATCTATCATGACTAAAAGTTTGGCTATTATAGGATGACCACCTATTAATCTGTATTTCTTAACTATACATTACATTTTTTAAATGAGCTGCATAAACACAATACCTTAAACAAGAGCAGAAATATATATATTCAAATGAAAACATTTATAAACAATAATTTTTGGAATTTGGGATAGTTTTCTATAAACATAACTTTCTCCTGTTGTTTGTTGGACAAAGTATTTTTAGGGCTCATGGAGACCTTTCAGGGAGATCTTGCCCCATTAAACCACCTTAGCCTGGAAGGAATCTACAGGTTCTAATCTGTAGAAACAAAAGCAGAACCTCTTTTACAAAGCAACATATCCTTAGACCCAAATTTTGAAGTCAAGATATCTTTATATTGGTTTAACATAGCAGCCCCCAGAATCAAATGTCTCTCTGCAGTCAAAAAAATTCAAAGAAAACACGATAATATACATAATCCAGACTATCTGTGTATATACCATCTTTACGTGGCTTATTTTTCTTTACTCCTTTAATCTATGACTGTCCTCTTTTATATTACTTTTACTGTCTCTTTAAAGACTTTATTTTTTAAAACTTTTTTACAACTGTCTATACTCTTTTTCTTCTCTCTCCCAAGCCCATGTACATTCTTTAAACACAGTATGACCCATTCAGAGGTTTATTTCTGTCTGAATCTGTCTTTATTGTGTGTCTAATCATTTCCTGACTAAGAGCACCTTTTTTTTTCTAAATGCTAGTGGGCATGACTAAGATCAACTCCACGCCTCTGCCTGTTGCCTCTGCCCTGTCCAACATGGCAGAGGTATGTTCACCTCCTCTGTGGGCCATGCTCACCGCACCAGCTCCAGGGACACAGCAGGTCTATATTGCCATTAGGCAATTAGTAGCATGCTCCTTACAACCCCACTTAAGTGCAGGACCTCCTGAAAGAGCCAGAGTTCATGCTGTTAGCATGAGTCAGGAATCTGGCTCTTAAAGAAACCGCACAAGTTTTGTTGCTAATGCTCAATTAGGAAGCCTTTTCTTAAAGGAACTATGCTTCTGCTTGCTTCTAGCAAACAAAGCCCACCCAAGAAAATGCTGCTACCAAGAAGCCACACTTAGCTCCTGTTTTTTTGTGGGTCTAGAAGTCCTCTTTTCTTCTTAAGCTTCTTTTAGGTCTTATGTGAATCCATGCCTGAGATGGTGGGTAACATTTTGTAATAAAACTTATTCATAGCATATAGAAGGTAATCCCATATCAGATCTCTGAATTCGAGCTCAGCTTGGTCTACAGAGTGAGTTCCAGGTCAGGACTGTTACACGGAGAAACTCTATCCCAAACCCCGCTCCGCCCAAAAGAAAGAAAACAGAAAAAAGGTAAATGTTTTATAAAGAGTTTTCATTTTTTTTTTCTTTCTTCCTCTAAGAGACAGGGTTTCTCTGTGTAGCTGTAGCTGACTTACAGAGCTGTGGCTGAACTTCCGGAGATCCACTTCTCTCTCCCTCCCTCCCTCCCTCCCTCCCTCCCTTCCTCCCTAAAGAATTCTCATCCTATGGGTTGGGGGAGTCTAAACAATGTCCTACCCCTTCCTCATAAGGTCCAAATGACAAAGTTTTTTTTTTAAATATTTATTTATTTAATTATTTATTATGTATACAATATTCTGTCTGAATGCCTGAAGGCCAGAAGAGGGCGACAGACCTCTTTACAGATGGTTGTGAGCCACCATGTGGTTGCTGGGAATTGAACTCAGGACCTTTGGAAGAGCAGGCAATGCTCTTAACCACTGAGCCATCTCTCCAGCCCCCCCAAATGACAAAGTTTGATTCCATCCAAGTCTACCCTGGCTAACTAAGGAGTTTATTAGGGTTACTTAAAAAAGCACGAATGAAGAGTTAAAAGCAGGAGCCTTGGTGACCCTAAAACAGCCACATTGGGAGGTTTGTACCCAGCATGGATGAAAACTAGCCCACAGCTTCATGGATAGTGCTTCCTTCCTAGTCCTTCACAGCCTGAATACTCTACCTCCTCCCTAAATCATGCACAATTAGGGCAGAATTGCATATAGTCAGTTGGGAGGAGTGGCTGGATTCTCAGATGAGGGTCCTTTAGCCCTCTCCTCCCTCCTAGGAGGGAATGTTAACAATCAACAAGCTTAGTTGTGATGGTCTTTTGGAACTGGGCACATCTGATCTGAAGATGGTGGCAGTTAGGCTTGGAAGATAACCCTATATAATATACACATTGAGTTCTTTTTCTCAAATTTACCAAAGATTAGATCCTGCTATTTTATGACATACAGTTATTGGATATATACAATAATTGTAGTGTTAATTTTTTGTTTTGTTTTGTTTTTTTGAGACAGGGTGTCTGTGTGTAGCTTTAGAGCCTGCCCTGGCTCTGTAGACCAGGCTGGTCTCGAACTCACAGAGATCCACCTGCCTCTGCCTCCTGAGTACTGGGATTTAATGGTGTGAGCCACCACCACCTGGCTCCAAAGTCTCTTAATGGTAAGTATATCTCTTTTTTTTCACTATCACGAGCTTATTGTGCCGGAAACAAACATCATCTGTGTCTTTTCACATCAGAACTTATTGACTAACAATCCATTCACAAAGTTATTTGTTAGATTTGCTGCAACTTACCAAGAAATCTTGAATTCAAGTATGTGGATCCTAGCAGTCATAGGTCCTTTTATTCCAGAATTAGTTACTGGCATTAACTCTTAGCTCGTACATTACCCTGTCGTATGTTTACACAGATTACAGAATGGCCATAAGAGAGGAACAGATGCTGCAGAGTTCTGAGAGGCTGTCCTCAAGTTGAACTGATACAATCTTAATTCAAATCCTGCAGGGGCCATAAAAAGTCATACTAGGCACAGGTTCAGGGTTGTCAGCACAGGCCCAGGCGTCTGGCCATTTCAAATGCAGAAGTGGAGAGAGCAGCATACGATGAAGAAGCTGGAGGCTTTCACTTTAGCCAGTGTCTTACACGAGGCTCACGACACGTGATGGGTCAAAATGGAGGAACTCTATACAGTTCCCCGTGTGGGTGTATCTGATGCAACATATGTAGAGTTCATACGTAGAGTCTCTGCTTTGATTTGATACAGTCACAGGCAGTGTTGTTTATTCGCACAAATCAAATGATTTGTCAGTTGGTACAAGCTGGTGCCCTGACAGACAACAGTTAATGACTTGTGTGAACACAAACATAATCATTTTTCCTTGGCACTTAGCTTCAAAATGTGGTCTATGTGTTGCACAGCCTGACATCAGCAATTGTACACAACAGAGTAAGCTACCATCCAGACCCAACTTATTCTGTTTTTCTAAAAAAGCAGTTTTTAGTTGTTTGAGAATTTCATATAACATGTTTTGATGCTATTACCCTCCTTCTCCAACTCTTTCTAGATTCATACCCCCATTTCCTTCCTACCCAACTTTGTAAAACTAAGTAGACCAGGCTGGTTTCCCATTCAAAGAGATCCACGTGTCCCAGCCAGAGCGTTGTAGCTATTAAGCCTGTCCTGGAACTAGCTCTTGTAGACCAGGCCTGCCTCTGTCTCCCAAGTGCTGGGATTAAAGGCGTGTGCCTCCACTGCCCGGCTTGTAATCTCTTTTTTCTTAAAGGAGCATCAGGCCCCTTGGGTTGGGGCCCACCTGTATGATTTCATTTAGTTTTAATTATTTCTGTAAGTATTATAATAACTACCTCTCCAAATGCAATCAGAGTGCACATGAGGCACACAACTTAATCCACGACTAAGACACTGTTTAGTCCAAACTCTTCCTGAGATTTTTTTCCAGTCCCCATTGCTCTCCTTCCCAGGAAGATTAAACCAGATTAGGATTAAAGGTGTGTCCTTCCATGCCCAGTTTTCCCTCCATGCTTGGGTGATATTTTCACACACAAATCTGACAACATTCCAGTTAAAATCTCTGGTGGCTCTAAACCCTTTAGATTAGTGAGTCTTTATTTTGCTCCCTAGTTTGCCATTTCACAGATTCCTGGCCACTGACTGGTCACTGCTTAACCAATGCTTCCTCCCTTTCAAGGTCATGCTCTAAATCATCTTCAGGATACAATTCTGACACTTCTAAGCAGGACTGACTTTTAATACAGTATCTTTTAAGGTGTATAAATACCCTTGCAGTGATTAGGAAAGAGATGAAATAGGATTAAAGATTTTAATATGGACTGGGGAGATGGCAGCCCTGGAGACTTCACACAGAATTCAAGACGTGTAAGTGAGGAAGACATAGGTCTTTCTTAGGACACAGCAATGTCCAAATATGTTTCCTGGGGAGAGTTTCCTGGGTAGGCTTAGAGTAAGTAGGCATGAATCCCAGCAAGTCACACTGTGACTGAGCGTTCAGTGTGATATGAAGGTAAGCATGGCCAGTCAAATGGAGGGTAGCTAGCTGTCTATTAGAGGGGTGGGCATTGGGCAGCAAGTGTAGAACCACCATGCTGAAAACCACTGAGTGGCTGGAGAGATGATTCAGGGGGGTAAGAGCACTAGTTGCTCTTCCAGAGGACCTGGGTTCGATTACCAGCACCCACAGAGCAGCTTACAACTGTCTGTAACTCCAGTCCCAGGGGGATATGATGGCCTCTTCTGGCGTCCTCAGTATATACATGGTATTCACATAGTACACTGACATATACACAAACAAAAATCCATACGCAGAAAAATAACAGGAGATCGAGAGTAGGAGAGGAAGACGGACTCCTGAAGGAGAGCTGCAGAGCGGGCTCAGTGGTTAAGAGCACTTGCCTGGTGTGGGTCCATGGTCTGTATTATGGCAATTATATTTTAAATAAACGCTGATTGGGCAGTAGCCAGGCAGGAATTATAGGCGGGACAACCAGACAGGAAGTAAAGGTGGGTCAAGGAGAATAGGAGAATGCTGGAAAGGAGGCCTATTCCTCCACAGTCCTGACCCGACCACAGAAGAAGCAAGATGTGACTGCCTCGCTGAATAAGGTACACATGGCTAACACAGATAAGAATAATGGGCTAATAATGGGCTATATAAGTTATGAGTTAATAAGAAGCCTGAGCTAATGGGCCAATCTATAACTATATATTAGTTATGGGTCTATAACTAATGTAGACCTCTGTGTGATTTCTTTGGGACTTAATGATTGTGGGAACTGGGCAGGACAGAAACCCCTACAACACTTGGCTGCTCTCTTAGAGGACCAGGGCTTAATTCCCAACATCCACATGGAGGCTTAAAACCATACCTAACTGTGGTTTCACAGCCAACACATCCTTTTGGCCTTCTCTGGCACCAGGCACAAACACGGTACATACACATACAGTCAACTATAACATTCATGTGCATAAAATAAATAAAACTTTTTAGAAGTGACTACTAAACCCTATTTCTAGCATGAGAAAGTACAATTTATGGTCAACATAGATGCCAAGCAACATACAATTGTAAAAATTTACTACATTAGCTAGGTGTGGTGATGGACACAGTACGTGGGAGGCCACGGTAGGAGGATTCTCAACTAGAATGCAGCCCAGGCTACACAGAGATCTTGCCTCAAAAAAGGGGGTGTGGCTGGTAATATGGTTCATTCCCCATACTAAAGCACTTGCTGAGCTGAATTCCCAGGGATATATGGTGTGTGTGTGTGTGAATGTCCATGTATGTATGTAGAGGCCAGTGGCCAACCTCGCTGTCTTCCTCAATGATACAACCATCTTTTTTGAAAAGCTCTCTTAATCTGGAACTCACTGATTCAACTAGGCTTGATTTGGGAACCTTCCTGTCTCTGCCTACCCAGTACTGCTAAGTGTGCCACAGCTTTTTTGTTTTGCTTTGTTTTTTTTTTTTAAAAAAAAAAAAAAAAACAAAACAAAACAGGATCTCACTAGGTTTACTCTGGATGGCCTAGAACTCACCATGTGGCCCAGGCTGACCTTGAATTCAGGTTCACCAGCCTGTGATTGAAGATGCGTGCCAACACACCAGGCCCAGATCCGGCTTTTTCCGTGAGTGCCGAGGATGGAACTCTGGGGGGAAGGGGGATAAGATAGCCACTCAAAACGAATGCTTGTTTTCTCACTATACATCCGAGCACGCTCTTGCCACACCTGACCACAAGCAGGATACCAACAGGCCTTTCCCCGAGCTTCTGGGGTAGGGAGGGCCACAGCACCTAAGTACCCGGTGGGCCTGACCAGGGCTGCAGCCTAAGGGGCCTGTGGCCTACACGGGGAGGACGACGACTACCAGTGACACACAGGTGACTAACCAAGGAGACGGCGGGTTCCAACAGACAGCATGACGCCCCAGCGCAGGCAAGGTAGGGACAGCCGCCTCATCTTCCAAGGCGAGAGAAGGCAGCACGGGAACTGTTGAAGCTTCGCTTCGCGCCTCTCCTCACCCGAGAAGAGCCAGCCTAGCCAGTCTCACGTCAGCGTCTCATCCGTCACTTGACCGCGTCCCTGAGCTTCGCGGGTCACGCATGCGCAGTTGTCTCTCGTTGCCCCGCCCCTCAAGCGGCCCATTCCCTTCCATCCTAAAGGGAGCTCTAGCCGCCTGGAGTGGCCACGTGTGCGCCTGCGCGCTCCGAGACCGCCCTCCAAGTGACGTGAGAGCTCACTCGGAGCGCTCGGCCGCGTCTCTCATCTCCGGCTCCCGTAATCTGCTGTGATGGCTGCCGCGGTCCCTGGCGCCGTTTCCCTCTCCCCACTGCTGTCTATTCTCCTGGGCCTGTTGCTCCTCTCTGCTCCTCATGGCGGCAGCGGCCTGCACACGAAGGGCGCCCTTCCCTTGGACACAGTCACTTTCTACAAGGTAATGAGGACTGGGGGAGTCGTGCGCAGGTGCAGCTAGACTCCCGTGGGCGCGTGCGCTCATGAGGACGTTGGTCCCCGAGGGGTGGCAAGCAGGCACTCTATAGGGACCATCCCTAGATATCCCACCATCCTATAGGCCCAATGTTGGCAGAATAAGGGCGCACGCTAATCACTCGGAACCCTTGTCTTTGCTTTGCAAGCCGGCTACTCGCTACCTCCTTCTACAAAAGAGCTATGCAGTCAAGGGACCTAAATGTTCCTTCCCTTTATCTATAGGGAAAAGACAATGCCGGGAACGATCCAATCCACGAGTCCCAAGTGGAAGATTGAAGGGCGGGGCGAGGTCGACGCTCTTGGGCTCCTTGATGGGTGGGGGTGGCGAAGAAAATTAACGTTAACATGCAAGTGTGCTCCCCCTCTTCTCTGACTGAGGATGGATGCCTGCTTGATGTGCCAGTGTGCAAACCATATGATAGAGCGCGGACCCCTACAAAGTGCAAGGGTTAAAAAGGTGCACTTCTGACACCTGTAGAAAGCATGTTCGGGCAGAGAAAGAAATGAATAAAAACCAGGTCAAAGCACGGAAGAAGCGCCATTAGTCCTAGGGTCCCCCCCCTCCCCCAAATGTGGTATCCAGGTCTGGGTAAATGAATGGTGGCAATGTTGGAGGCTGAATGCAGTGGACGGTGTGCACCCAACCTTTTCCTCGCGCATCTGTCCCAGACCCCAGCAGTTCTCACTTCCTCTATTGGGCAATCTAAGTGTGGAGAGAAGTAGTCATTTTCTTATTTTGTTTTCATAGTGAGGAACTGAAAATCAAAAGAGAACTAAATGAGCCTGTCTCGAGTGGTTGGACACGTCCGTTTTGGACAGGGTTGCTGTTTGAAAAGGATCCTGCACATGTAGCCTATTCAATGTTGTCCTTAGGAATTAAAAAATGTCTGCCATATTATTAATCACCCACTCAACCTTATATAGCAATCTACTCTCGATACAGCGGTCCAAGTGTGAACAAGGCATTTAGCACCCTAAGTTTAACCAACCGGTCAGTGTTCACCATCTTTACCAACTGCCTCCCTGCCCTCATCACTGGAACCCCAATGGCCCCTGACTGCACCTCGAGATTCCACAATAGAATGCCCTTCTTACCACTCACTTCCTAGCCATTTGCCCCCTTGTCCAATCTCTCCAGCCAGTACAAGCCTGACTTCCTAGCTCACAGCTGTTAGGACTTCGGCACTGTTCCTTGTGACTGGAACACTCCTTGCCAGTCTTTGAAACAAGTTACTTCACATTATTCGGTCTTAGGTTAAATATTACCCGCTTGGGGCCTTGCCTTGCTTTCTTGGGCCCCCCGTGACGGTCCCCCTCATTCATTCCTGTTGCTCCGTCACTATTTTCTTTAAACTTGTCAGTTTCAAATCTCCCATAGAACATTACAAGCATATGAAGCAGCTGATCTGTTTCTCTGACTCTCTACACGGCACACCAGATTATTCATTGAGCATCTGACAGTGGATCTGGTATGTTGTCTTCACATCAATCAACAGGTGCCTCCTCTATTGCTTCCAAATTTTTGCCAGGAATCTTGTTACATGTTTTGTCTTTCAGTGATTTCCAACTAGAATGGGTTTTCTTCAGTGTTATTTTTGACCATCACTAAAAGGCTTCATTAGATGAAAGCCCCTATGCTGTTCATTGCTGTGTTCATTTAGAATGATGTCTGGGACATGATGGGCTTTTAACAGCTTCTTATATAGCGAACAAATAAATAAACAAAGCCAGCCAGGCAAAGGTGTCAACACACAGAACTGATGAGGCAGAGGCAGAAAGGTCATGAGTCCAAGGCCAGTATGGGTAACTTGATGAGATCTTGTTTTAAAAATCCCAGTGAAGGGGCCATAAGATGACTCAGCAGGAAGGCACTTGACCAAGCCTGACCACTAGAGTTGGTGAAAGAAGAGAACTGACTCCCACACACATAACACATACATAACAGCACTACTGCATCCTGTTAGCTAAATCTCCTTTCTACTCCAGTGTCCAGCCACCCTATGATTATTGGTATTCGGTATTCTAAATGAGGTCCCCTGGCAGGGAAGCCTGTGCTGTGCTTTTGAAACACCATCCCGCTTCTACTCACCTTGATTCACAGCCACGCAGCATCAGCTCCCCAAGCCTGTGAGAGCTCTCTTCAGAACATTTTTCAGTGTGTCTGCCATAAGTCAAACACTGGGAGTGTACAAGAACAGGGGCATGGTCCTTATCCTTAGAAATCCAAGTGGGAAAGACAGAAAATGAGCAAATAATAAGGTTTCATTGTGAGATGGGAGAGGGTTAAGGAAATGAAGTAATAGGAGATTGGATCTTACTATTCACTAGAAGGGGACATTTAAACTGACCCTGGAATGACAGAGGCAGATGAAGAGGCTTTCCAGGCAGCAGAGTGGGACTAGTGAGAAACAAGGGCAGCTGGGCCATGGGGATATGAGCCGATTTATATTTTCAGTCTTCCCTGCTGCTGGGCCCTTGGAGCTCTGACTTTTTAGTGTCAGTGACCTGTTCCCGATGGTTTCTGTCTTTGATGTCCCTAGGCAGTTTTAATATCCTTAAATAGGTAAAATAAAGTGAATGTTAAAAATAATAAGGCCTTTTCACTACCAGCGATTGCCTGTGATGGAAATATGACAGTTTGGGACTGCGGAAAGGCTGATGGAGGAGGCTGGAAAGAGGGCTTAGTGGTTGAGAACAAACACTGCTCTTGCATCCATGTCAGGCAGCTTACAGCCTGTCATTCTCTAGCTCGAGGTTGATCAGGCATCCTTTTCTGGCCTTCTTGGGTACCTGTACTCAGATGCACATAGCCACACATACATAACTAAAAATAATAAAAATAAGTTGTTTTTTAATTTGAAGATGGGTAGGCAGTATTACTGACCAAAGGTAATTAGATAAAATGTATACATTGAACAAAGCCACCAAAAGGAAGTCTTGGGCTCATCAGTAAGTTAAATGTAGACTGACCATTATGATTCCCTGAAGCTCCATTCCCAGCAAACCAAAAGGAATGGAATTTTGTGTGCTCAAACATAACATGTATGTCAACGCTTTTATTCCCAGCACTCAGGAGGCAGAGACAGACAGATCCACTTCATTAAATTAACTACCACAATTAAAATTCTGGCTTTGACAGTTTAAGACAGATGTAGCTAAAGGGAATGCTGGTCTTAGGAGATGGCATGGACTCAAGTCCATGGACCTCTTCATCAACCTTCTGACCTGAAATTGCTCAGTTCAGTTCAAACTCTGGCCTCTATGGCCAAAGCATCCTGAGTATTTGGTGTTTACTGACAAAGACCCCCTGAGATGTCAGAGGACAGCAGTGGGTGCCAATGTTTCCTTGGCATTGTTCAAAGACACTGGAAGGGAAGGCCTCAGGTATTTATGCAGTATTCTATCTTTTGTGGGTGTGAACACATGCACACCCGGTGTGATACCCACAAAGGAATCATATTTTAAGCTTTGGGGGAATCAGTGCATTCACACAGCTTGTCTCCCGTGTAGGCTCATTTCCACTGTTTCTTAAACAGGGGTCCCTTGGGAAGGGGAATTATCCCTAGAAGTCCCTGAACACCTGACTTGCTCAGCTCTATGCGCCCACAGGTCATCCCCAAAAGCAAGTTTGTCTTGGTGAAGTTCGACACCCAGTACCCCTACGGTGAGAAGCAGGACGAATTCAAACGGCTGGCTGAGAATTCGGCCTCCAGCGATGATCTTTTGGTGGCAGAGGTGGGGATCTCAGGTACGGACAAGTCCAGGATGACTGGGGAGGGGCTTGGGATGAGGGAAGGTGGGGCTCATTTCCCTGGTGGGTGGGGGAGTAATGCCCCTGAGCCATTCACTTAGAGAAATTGGTTAAAGTCTGTCAGGACATAGTGCCTGCAGCAAGCTTAAGCGGAGCAGGTGCTGCCCATGGAACCAGAGATGATCCTATAGCTGCCTGAAGGAACAACTCCTCTTCCCAAACCTTCACCTCTCTGACTTCCCTTAAGAACTGAGCACCTCCTGAAATGAGCCAGTGCCAGCACTAATCGATGGGCAGTCTCTACAGCCATAGTCACCAGCATCTCTAGTGGTTATAGTCCAGAGGTCTGCAGGCACTGAATCTCAGCCCTATCTTAAATGTGGTATCATCACCTTATTTGGGAAGATCCGTACTTCCACCTGGGAGGTCCTAGAGAATTTCCGGCAGTCTGGTAGCAGTAGAGCTGGCTAGAACACTTCTCCAGGGCAATTAGTGGTGAGTTTACTCAATTTCCAGTCAGTTCCCTCAGAGCTTGGTGAATAATAACTGCAACAGAGCCAGCTTTCATCCTGTATCTACTATGTGCCAGGCCACTGTGCTGCTTTCCATGAGTTCTGTCCCAATACCTCTCTGAAAGAAGTACTATGGAACTATCACCTGTGTCTCAGACCAGTGGACCTATGCGCAAGACTTAATGGTGCAGTTAAATGCCAGACCTAGGGGGCTGGAGAGATGGCTCAGCAATTAAGAGCACTGACTGCTCATCCAGAGGATCTGG